ATATCGGTGATGCAACCAAAAATGCTCTTCAGGCTGCCCTCCTCAGTCTGTTCCGGGAAAGCGCTCAGCAGGACCCAAGTGTCGATAGTGTTGATTCCGTTCTGGCGACTGCACTTGAACCTGAACTCAATAGTGATGGCTTCCTTGTCTTCAATGAGCTTCCTCCAAGAATTTTCGACGCCCGATCGATCTTCGTCCCTAATACTTTGCATCCATGTGTTGACACTGTCTTCTGTTCTGGGATGCCTCGAAATTTGCCACCACATGTCGTTGGCGAAGTTAATAAGGCCCTTGTCATTGGCAATGAACATGCCGACAGGTGCGAACTCTGCCATTCGTGAGAACTTGTATTCGCTTTCAACTGCCTCTTGTGTTCTCAGGTAGAGCTCCATTTGCAATTCTTGACGATCCATCGCAGCTAAGCGAGCGGCCCTCTGTCCTCGCTTGATCTCCTCTTCGAAAAGCACAACTGATGCCATGGACGTCGCAAGTTGTCTCGATAAGAGGTGGATAAAAAGCTGATAATCTTCGTCGTACGGTCGACGGGGGTTGGTGCCCAAGACGATGAAGCCAACGACAGACTCGCCGGCTGTAGTAGGGTGGACGGGTAGGAGCACGATAGTCTTACTAGGATCACCAAAGCCTCTCCATTCTAAGCCTTCAAGCAGTTTTGTTGGCAGGTTGCCAGCTTCCGACGAGAGAATAATGGGTGCGCCTTGCATTGTCATGGACTGGCGCATGTAAGGGGCGAAGCCATCGTCTGACGACTTCAGGTCGAGCTGGGGAAGCCCAGCTGCATGTCCGTCCGGAACGCCCAAGCTGCCTTCAAGCTGTAATAGTGGCGGGTGTGCTATGCTTCCAGAGTGCATAGAAGATACTTCACTCTCACTATTGTCATCCTTCACGGAGTAGATGAGAGCGAATGGCACGTCCAAGTCGTTGAACTCCAATCCATCCTTGACCCGCGACCAGAAGCTTCTGACGTCCTTAGCAGCTGCTGTCTTCTCGCCCACCTCTCGCAGAGTCAACATTCGGCGTTCGTTAACCTTGCGGCGGGTGTTTTCGAAGGCTGGATTGTAGAGTCCGACCACTTGACCATCGGACCCCAGCAAGGGGATGATGGACCATGAAAAGAAGGTCTCCTCGAGGAATCCGTGACGGAGGATAAACAGCTGGTTGTCGTTCTTCATGATGGACTGCCCATTTGACCAAGCATTGTTGAACAAAGGCTCAATGTCCGACCAGATCTCTTTCCATGCGTCCTGATACCGCATGCCCATAAGTTGTGGATGCTTTTGCCCGGCAAGCTCAATGTAGGCCTCATTGTAGATCGCAACATTGTCCCGTCCCCAGTACATGGCCGCAGGGTGGGGACTACCCATAACCATGTTGGCCATGGCCCTCAATTCTGAACTCCAGTGCTCCAACGGACCCAATGATGTGGAGGCCCAATCAGTGTTGCGACAGAATAGGATGTGTTCACTCAAATCCGGGGTCGTTTGAATGCGGGTCCAGTCGAATGACGGCCTCATCATGGCTGCTTGGAAGACCTGTTGGGTGAACTCGTCGGTATGATACTTCTCACCACTATCCACCATGACACAGTCATCGACGACGATTGGTGTATCGTCCATGTCATGCGGCTCTCCATCCATATCACCAAAGTAATCAGGTTCGTCATCCATAGGTATAATTGATGGCTGGTTTGGTGTTGGCCCTCTACTCCGCTGTTCCAGTACCGCGGACTCATCGGCTAACGGAATCGGGGAGTCTGCTGCTGCCGATACAGCGCTGGCGTTGCCACTCACGAAGCGGAACCGTTTGCGCAAGGTCGAGCATGTCCATGTGATGCCACCATAGCTGTGAGAAGGAAGGCAAACATTAAGGGATTCATGATTCGAGACAAAGCTCGTGGCCCATGTTTTGAAGTGGATGTAGTCGGGATTCTTGCCGACATCGTCACCCTCCACAGAAAGGAGTTCCAAGACACCCACCGAAGCCCTGAGCGCCGCGTTGGCGTAAAGCAAATGCAGTCCCGACTTTTGCGCGTTGACAGGATTTGCGAGGTCGATAATGAAAGTTGGACGCTCATCCTGTTCCAAAAGTTCGATCACGCCAACTCCTCTCAAAATTTGCAGTCCTTGAGGAAGATTCTGGCTATTGGGGCTTCTTGACGAGGTAAGAGTGGCGTCTGCAGAAGATAAACTACTGCTCCCCGGCGTACTCCCAGATCTAGTTGATGTGTGAGCGTGGACGGTTCCGCGGGGTAGGCGAACAGTGTGCACGCGGTCTTGGTCCTCCCTCAGACGAGCTAGCAAGACGGCTGCAGCGTCCGAGGGAGGGAGAGCAGCTGGTCGAGGCGGCATCTGTCGTTTGTTGTTTGAGGAGAAGAACAAAGGGGAGACGACCCCTTGGTTGTGCCTAGCCAGGATGACTGACGTAGCTGGTTGTTTTGGCAGCTTAATATGCCCCGGCGGCCCCAACCGAGTTCGTGCCTTCTTCAGAGGTGAAGGGTTCGGTCGTTCGTGTGCGTTTTCGTCGTCGGACAAGCGCTTCCCGTTGGATGTAGAAGGTCTCGACAGATGGGTGGATTCTGTAAACGACCTGATAGTCGGAGAGGTCGGGTCCGACCTGGGGGTCAGGAGCGTCCTAGACGCGGCGTCGAATGAGGGATCGCAAGTAGTGTCGCTATACGTCAAACCATACCGACTAATGTCGGGAGTTATCCATGACCCTCCGGGACTCAATGTCGTCGAGATTGGCGAGGCGGGACGGTAACGTGAGTTGCTCGACTGTGGCTGTGAACCGGATCGCTTGTGGTTGGCGTTCGTGGTGGAAAAAGAAGGTGCGGCGGTAGAAGCCTCGGGTATGGCGGCGGTGTTGACTACGGCAGCGAACGGGTCCGCCGTCGATGGTCTGGTCGTCGTCGGTCTGGTCGTCGTCGTCGTCGCCCTCGTCGTCGGATTCGTTGCCGTGGTCGTGGTTGCGGCGATGTGTTCCGGGGTGTGGTAGGGTCGGTGTGTCGAGGGCAACGGGGGAGCGAGGAGTCGTATGGTGGATTGGGAGAAGCGATCGTCGCCCTGCGGCATGAATGCGCGGGGGGGGGGAGTGAAGATGAAGTGCGGCCGAAAGAGTCGGTCCGTTCTGGAAATTTTCGTCTCGGGCGTCCTTCTCTATGGCTGTCTTCCCCTGCCGAAACTAAAATGATTCCTTCTTAGCGACAGCGGAGACGGGAGTGAAGCAAGTGCAGAAGTAAAGGCGCACGGCAAGCACAGACACAATGGACGATGACACGGGGGGTATGGTGTGCAGTGCTGGGAAGCGGGAGCAGCACTTTGCAGGCCACGGGTGAGCGAGCGAGCGAGCGAGTGCAAGCCAAGGTGTGCCGCGGGAAGGGGAAGGCTTAGGCGGGCAACGCTACCTTAGTCAGGTAAGGTAGGTATCCGTAGGTAGGTGAAAGTCGGGTGTTCCCAGAGGTGAGAGAGGGGGGTCAGTGATCTAGCGGTAAGAAAAATAGAAGAAGAAAACACCGACAGGGAAATGCCAGACCAGACGGGCGCTGTGTGCTTTGCTAGCTGCTAACCTTGCCGTGCTTGCTACCGGGGTGCAGGTGGTTGGCGAGCCAGGCGGGATTGCGGATCGAGATAGAGCGAGGGTTTGTTGGCCCAGGCCACGAACAGGAAGGGGAAAGGCCTGCAGCAAAAAAGAGTCTGGAAGGGACGGACACCTGGGCGGGGATTCGGGGAAGGGTGATGACTGGGAACATGCGGGCTTGATCGGGGCGCGCCTGAACAGGGTAGGCAAGGTGAGTTAGGGTAAGGTGGGATTGAGCCTTGAGCCGTGAGGTGCAAGTACGGACGGATACAGCCAGCGACTGGGGTGATGTGATGGGGATTGGAGTCAAAGATTACCCAGGGACTGCCAAATGAATAGGTAAGATTGATCCGGCGCAGTCAATGGAAGACAAGGCAAGCCGCAAAGTAGACAGATGGCAAGCAGGGCTGTACGGATAAAGGGAACAATAATGACTTGTTGGACTTGGATGGCGACAATGGGACTGCCACTATCGCAGCCACAGAGACGAGACGGCCGGAGTAGTAGCCCAAAGTTGTGGGATGGTCAACCGGAAAATACTCCGAAAGCGTGTCGTCAATCCAAGTCTGGCAGTCCGAACTTTGGGAGGGTGCCACCACTACGGCACCCGCCGTTAGGAGTGTCATAAGGCATAAGGGACGGCAGAAGTAAACGATCAAGTGCCGTGACTAGAAGGGAGTAGAAGGAAAGAGATGAAGTTACCAGGATGAGGTTGAATGCGATCCAGGGTGTACCTGCAATCTACACCACACACGAGGTGCGGTGTATGAAATGGCACGGGCGAGTGTGATGGTTCGGAAGCTACTGGATGGGCCTTGAGCACAACGACGGCAACTGATGCTGTGAGGCGTAGCTGCGAAGGTGCCTTCAAACGTGAATCGGACAGGCCAAGTCAGGTCCACGTCAAGCCGCAAGACGAGAAAGCAAGGTCAGGCCCGGGCAGGTCGGAGCGGTAAAGGTAGGCAGGCAGGTAGGAGGCCCGTTGAGGACTCGAAGTGTGAGTGAGGCGTAAGGCGAGAGCGGCTGACGATGGGATGGCTCTGCGGTGTGGTCTGGTGCTGGTACTGGATTGCTCTGCGATGCTGCGGGGAGGTGAATGCGTTTCCGATGGTTGGAGCGGTGGGTAGGTAAGAAGATGTACGCGGAGATCGAAGGCGCAGGATGGAATCGAGAGATGGTAGTCCGTACAGAAAGGCGGAATGGGAATCTCGATTTCGAAAGAGGAGTCAGTGCGAGGGCACGGCGTGTATTGGTTAATGTTTGGGGAAGCGTCTGTCCTTCTCTTTTTCTTCCCTGGTTTGGTCCGGTTTAGGACCTTTGGGACTTGGACCGGTTTGGAATGGTCTTCCGAAAAAAGCTGAGATATGGCGCCCGGGGGGGGGGAGTGAGTAGTAACTATTACTGTAGGTGGGTGGGCATGGTTATGCGAATGAATCTAGAGTGCGAGGTAGGAGTCTAGAAGACCAACTTACTGCAGATGAACCTTGCAAAAGGACGTACGCACGTCGACTCCTTTTTTGTTTTGGCAGCTGGCAGTGACAGGAACGGGATGATTTGCAACTGGGGGTCTGGTCAGGCTGTGAGTATCCGTACTTCAGTCGAGAGGGCCGAGGCGGCACCTTGTTGCGCTTTTGGGGGTTCGGGGTCTGCGGAAGGGACCAGAAAAAGAAAAGAACAAAAGAGTTGTGAGTCTGGGACTGGGAATGAGTGAATTGGGCAGGAATTGGAAATGCGAGAGATTGCGGGAGCCATGAGGTGGAATTATCAGACAAATGGGAAGTGTACCCTTCGTGCTTCGTCCCTTCCTTCCACCGGGACTGTTCCGCTACGGAACCCCTTCCTCTTCGTTCATTCTTGCCAACTCGTTCTCTCCTTCCTTCCCTTTGCTTTCTCTCTTGATACCTACTCCGTACCTACGGTAAGGCAGGTGCGAACGGCGTCGTGTACTTCCGTATCTTAGCTACATGACTACCAAAGCCACCAAAATTGACATATCCGATAATTCCCCATGCCTGAGGTGGCCTCATGACACTTCCTTCCTTCTATATCTCACCTCACTTGACACTGTCACTCCATGCCCTTCCATGCGTCTCATTTAGTGCTTCTTCTTCTTCTCCAGTAGCCCTGTCGACAACAGCACCGACGGAAGCATCAGTAGAGTTGAACAATGAAGGCTCCTCGCTCCCAAGGGACTAGCGGGCTACACAGAGATGACAAGATATGAGTTGTGTGCGGGTGTAGGTATATGGAAGCTCGCCCGTTACGCTCACAAAGGCAGCCCTCTGCACATGTGAGGAACAACCTAAAATGGGTGTGAGGAACAACAAGAAAAAAAAAAAAAAAAAAAGGGCGGGTGGGATGAAGGCTCAGGCGGAGAACGGAGCACTGGGACTGGGGGCGGAGCTACAGCCCACCTCATGGACCGTGTTCCTTCCACTGCAGGCACAGCTGGGCCCTGGGGGTGGCATTGTGGAATCGTGGATGGGCGGCAGCGTGGTATTTTAGACCCAGGTCTGGATTCTCTAGATTTCTTGGGTTCTGCGCCTTGACCAAGACATTGCTCCCAGTCCAGCCTTGGCCTTGCTGCTTCCAGACATGGACACCCCCAGTTCCACACCAGGCATCAGACGGCCTAGCCAACTTCATCTGCTTTACCTTATGCCAACCCGTCGACACACTCACCAAGAATATCATTGGAACTTTGCAATTATCAGACTCGACAAAGTCCGTTCGGGTACCGGCAGTGTCCGACTTTTACTACCTACCTTACACAGCAAGACAAGTACAACTCAACTCGACATGGAAACCTTGGTTAAGTGTGCAGCCCTCGTATCTATCTCCACGGCCCTAAAGTACATATCGCCGTCCACCAAAAAGGCCCAAGCTTGGCCCACCTCGGTTTGTCATTCCGCGTATGGAGAATTGGGCATTTACAACACCTTCACAGATTCTTCGTCCGTACAAAATACACAGGTGCTCATATATTGTATAGGTCTCTGATCCCTCGGCATACAGATGTTTACAATACAACTTCGAGGCAATATGCGCCGGCCAAATTACCTTCTTTCTCTTGCAACAAGGCCAGGCATCGGTTCGCGTATCTCGCTCTTTCTATCCAGAGAAATGCATCCTAGTAGGTAGGCGCAGCTTCTTTTGAGTCATCTGGAAACGAAACGGGAAGCAATGACAAGAAAGAAACCAACACCCGCCGTGACGGCGCACATTTCAAAAGTAAACAGACCGAGCCTCCGTCCGCTTCTGTTCTCGCAGCTTCTCGCTTCGCCCCGTAGTCTACGGCCTGCCTGCATATCCCACACAACTGCCATGCCTTGCCGTTATATCCTGCCATTATCCATTCACTAATGTAGGTAGGTATTGGGTGACGAGAAAGAAGGAGAGCTCCAGACGGCGACCAACACTTGAGTGAAGATACTTGTCAAGCGGCAAGCCAGGTACCCGCCGAGCTTTCCGTGACGCCCGGCACTTGGCAGAGAGCATACGTCACTCCGAGTCAAATTGGTGCATGCCCACGATAAACCGTGTGTCTGCTTGTTTCTCGCATTCATTCAAAGAAGAGGGCTTACAGCATTCCACAAGCGTAGCCGGAAAGTTGCGCCGTCGTCAGCAACGGCGAAGATGCAGCAAAGCGAACCCGACGGATGGCTTCGAAATGTCCGGATGGGAAAGAGCCAACAAGCCAAGCATTGACCCACTGGACAAAAGATACCTGGATACATACGAATAACTGTGGATTGTGGTGGGGTAGGGTTCCACTTCGTGGGCCCGTGGTGTACCAGAAGGGAAGGGCCCTGGTCATCCGCTCTCCCCTGTCGGTCTCGAACTGGCGCGGTCCAGACCGTGGTCGCCCCCATCCCGAGCCCGCCGATCGATGATCGTCACCTGCCGTTCTCATTGGCCCCAATCCGGCAGCTCCTGTCACTGTTAGTTTGGTCAATCTTGTCAGGAAGCAGTTACTGGTCAGCATTTCACCAGCATCAACTTCCACGTCGTTGAGGTGCAGACGCAGACGCATACGCTCAATGTTGTCAACTTGTCATTTATTTTCTGCGGCTCCGTGGCCCCCAGCCTGTCGACTGCAACCCCAAGAGTAAAAATCTCAGATTTTGACATGTCAGCATCCAACTACCTACGGATACCTACCTATGAAGACCAATCCGTTGCCCTCTCCGACGCCAGCCCGCAGATCAACGTTTAGCAGCTTTGCGACATAGGTCTTTCAATGTGTCTCAGTTTCTGTCCGCATCCGGGCATTACTTTCGAAGTTTGATCGCCTTACCCCAGAGACGAGTTGCCAGCTGGCAAAATCAGAAGAGAAACAACTCAATACATCCTGAAATACGGATACTCTATCAATCTATGCCCCAACCGCCTTCAACCAAGACACCTCGCTCGTCCTCCTGCTATTCGAGAAGAGGACGAGATAGTAGCGCCTCTGCCCTCTTCATGCATACACCTCGCGCCTAATTAGTGCCTCTCCTGCGTCCATAGCAGTGACGCCGCTGCCACCCCAAAGCAGTCATCACACGATGACGCCGGCCTGCTGCTCTCTGTGCCGGGCTCCGTGCGGAAGACTAAGTCGGTCGGGCTATATGTTTAGTAACTGTCCCGGCGCTTGGCCTCGCATTCCGTCATTGCGAAATACTTTCTCGAACCAGACAAGCAGAGATGTGGCTTACATACTCGCGACTGAACCAATGAAGTCTGAACCTACGGATACAGTGTTGATCGCCATGCAGGGTGGTTCAAGGGCTTTACTATCTCCTTGGCGCCAAGAATATAAAAAACCGTGATGCTGTCGCACATTGTTCCCCGTACGAGGCAACGTTGGATTTCAGACCCTCCAAGTCTCACCTCGGATCCGGACACGATCCCGAGTCGCGACTGTCGATGAAGGGATACAAAACTGCATTCCCAACCATGGAAAATGCGCCATGTATTCGAACCCGCGCGGGTACCCTTGCCTCTCAATACCTCTCACGACCTTGTCTCGGTCAAAGATATTCGGTGACAGATGGTGTCTTTCCTCCATCCATTTAACGCGCCTTATTCCCGATGGGTATCCCTCCCATTGGGTGTTCCGCCTGGGAAAAGAATGCTTATAAACGTTCCGGATGATTTGTCCCACTCCACGGTCCGAGATACTCGCTCAATGACCAACCAATTGCTCATATCCACGAGTTGCTCGCAAAACTACGAGACAACAAAGTTCGTTTCTAGTCTTTGGATTGTGTTGTTCAAACGAGTCGAATATCGGTGTCACCATTGTCTCCCGATCCTCAACAACGCATGCCACGAATCCAATAGTAATTTGTGCAGCCTCATCATTCAGGGAACACAGGCCGGTCATTTTTGGCTGCATGTTTAACAGTCGCGAGAAGCCGATACCTTCTCCAAACGTGTTATCAAACGGCTTCGTTCTGCAGGTCATGACGCAAGGGGAAACGATATCACGGTCTCGATTACCTCTCAATGCCAGTCGGAGTTGCGGAGATCACAATCTCGACGTGAGATACGCAGCATTCCTCGCATCTTCTTTCCTCGGTTCGCTCTGGTTCACCGCAAGGGACATTGTCTCGTTTCAGATCTCACTCTGTACGCATGGGATTCTCAGTTCAGATCCAGCGACGAGGCGCCATCGGCTCCGGCCGAATATAGTTTCACGGATAATCCGTTCATCTATCTACCTATGACGCAGTATCTATCGCAGGCCTGACTTTGTTGCCAGATGTACGGATCAGTCAAAGCTGCAGAGATCCGGCATTTGAGGCTGTTGATCAGAGTCGAGCGGCCCGCACCAGTTCGTCCGAAGGATCTGCGTGCACGCTTGTCACGTCTAGTTTGACAGCTCAAACTCTACTCAAGGACTGGAGTCTAAGTCAAACGGCACGATCGACCTTGATGGACAGTGGCGATATACGTTAGCAGCCAAGGTTGAAGAAACATGACGGCTTCAAATCGCATTTTCTCGTGGGACTTTCCCATCCTTCTTCTCTGCCCCTCTATTAATATCTTTGACAACCGCATCCTTCTTCACTGCCGGCAGATCAGATCGTCGCTCACATCAGCTCAAAAAAGCCCGCAAGCGTGAGATGCACCCACTCGTGCGACTGCACTTCAGCCTGTCTTACACTCCTCCGGCCATCACCAGAGACAGACCAGAGGCTTGTTTTTGGTCGACCAGCACACCGGCTGAACAAGCGAATGCACGTAATATGTAGTGCATACTGCCTGCTTGATGTTTCGGCACACTTACATAAATGGTCATTAGGATGCGGCCTGCTCGGGTTGAGGTTAATCCAGCCGAATACCTCCTGTCCGTCTCTAGTATCAAGCTACTTCGGCGGGGGTCGGCGGATGCCCATCACTGTGCCGGCTTCTCGGATCCGGGTATCGTGGGAAGATCTCCCCCAACGGGCGCTTATAATCACCAACCCCATGTGCGGTCCAAGCATCACAGTCACGTTGTTGGTTTCAATTTCCGGGATATGAAGCACCCATCACTCGTGCGTCAATCGCAGATTGGTAGACAAGTTTGCTGACTTTTCTCTCTCTCTCTCTCTCTCTCTCTAGTATCCTGCCGCATCTGCTGTTGCATCGCACCAGCATGGTACGAACAAGCTGATCTCACCTTGCTCACCACCTGCGTGCAATCCAACATTGCCAACCAACCCCCCATTCGCCGGCCAATCCCATTGGCAATCAATACTGCAACAGCAGTGGCCCCCGAAGCACCCCCTGCTCTCATTGAGGCGGGTATTGTGCGCAAGGTCGCATCTTGCCGCCCCCATTGGCTCTTTTCTCCGGGGGCCGACCAATTGAACGGCCCCTCTCGAACCCGGCGCTTAGCATCCCTCGTCACCTCCGCTCCTCATTTGGACCTCCCCGTTGTGATGGCGCACCGTCGGTCAACCACAGCACATGCAGCTCAGCGGCCCTTCACAAGTTCAACCCCCATTGCTTGCCCTGAGCTTACCCGGCCACCCGCCCGCCTGCTTCCCCCCATCCCCTCTTTGGACAGTGAATGGCGATGAATGAATGGAGCAAACGGTCGGAGGCGAATGGGTTGACCTGCAGAAGGGAGGGAGATATGGCCCTTAAACTGCCACCCTGCCCCCATCCGACCCATTGAGAGGCTCGTTCTCTCTTCTTGGTCCTTTTCTCACTCTTCACTCTCATTGAAGCTTCGACCTCCTGTCGAAACGACGAAGACGACAGTAAAACTTGAATCCCGTAACTTGGGATCCCGCGGTTTCTTCTTATTGCGGTCGAGTGCTGGGTGCCTGGCCAATGTGAAATCCCATTGTCTGCTTTGGCGAACAGCTACGCCTCGGAATAAAAGGGACTCACCTTTAAACCTCCCAACAAAGTCTTGGCAAAAGAGAGAACGAAGACGCCCAGCCAAAGGCTCATTAAGTGGGAGACTGAGCCGCCTCAAACCCCCCAAGGCGACACAAGCATCGACACACACATACACGATCAGGGACGAAGGAGAGAGAGGGAAGACAAAAAAGATGGCGTACAAGATCTTGCACAGGAAATGGCTGCTGCGGCCATGGATGTGGACACTCATGCCGCTTGAGCTCGCCGGCCTCGTCCCGCTTCTAGTCCTCTTCGGCATCGCGCAGCCGGACCTCTACCGGACGAAGCTCTGGGAGGTCGGGCACGCCTACGGGTTCAACTCGAATCCCAAGATGATTCTCTACGCCTACGCAAATTACGAGCCGTATCCCAAGGTCCCCTTTGTATGGACACGAACGTGAGTTTTGCATCCATCCCCATACATACGATCGATCAATGAGATGAGAACATGTTCGCTAACGTATTCGACCAATACAGACTCACAGACTTCAACGTCGCCATCTCGGTCATAACCCTCTTCCTCCTCCTCACCAAACTCGTCGCCTTCATCATGAAATTCTGGTTCCCCCTCCTGGCAGCCGTCATCAACATCGCCATGGTCGCCCTCTACACTGTCTCCGTCTACGGCCAAATGGGCCCCGACCACGCCGACCCGCGCTACCCGTCCTCCGTCGCCTGGTACATTTCCAAATCGTGCGACTACGCGCGCCCCTTTAGCGCCTACAAGAGCTGCCAGCTCGCCAAGGGCACATTCGCCGTGACGGTCTACATGCTCGCGCTCTACGTCGCCAACTTGGGCATCGCGCTGTACGTGCTGTGGCCTAATGCGAGTGACAAGGTGGACGGTGACGAGGACGAGGATGGAAAGGGGAGCGATGGCAGTTCGCCGGTGGATTATGCGAAGGAGGGACGGGAGTGGGAGATGAGGGATTGGCATGCCAAGGGGGGACCTGCGAGTCCGCGGGTCGGGGTTGTGCCGTATACGCCACGGACGCAGGCTTTTCATACGCTTGATAGGAAGTTACCTTTGAGGCAGCAGTATGGTTAAAGGGGGGATTGTATGTTGGAAGGAGGTGAACGGGGAGAGTGAGAAGATTTTATGGCATGATGGAAAGATATCAAATGATGGATGACGGTGGATGAATCCGTTCTTTTTTACCCTCTGCAACGCACAGAAGGCGCTGGCGTGGTTATTACCTTACTATTTTATTGCTTATTTATTTCCCATCTCATTGTTGATATCCCATCTATCGGATGAAGTTATACATTCGAGTAACAAGGAACTCCAATTCATGGCTTCGAGTTCACACGGCTTTGAGCTAACCAACTAAAAGCTCGTCATAAGTGAAGAGTCTGATACTTTTACTTATTCTCCCCTATCAATGACCTGTTTTTTCTTTTCCTTTCCTGCTCAAGTAACACGATCTCTCGAGCAAACTCAACCGTGTACATGGAGCTTTCTCGTCCATCCACTGGATAGTCAACGAATGGACGTGATCCAATTCTCATGTCCACCTGAAAATGAACCCAAGTTTGCGTTCTCATCTGATTTACCTTCTAGCTCGCATCCAAACGACGTCTTTCGTGGCCTCATGGGATCGTTTCGACATGAGGGGGCTTGGAGGGACTCAGTCACCTATCTACCAGTCCACGTCAATAGCAGCAGCATACACCGACATGAATCTTATCTGTCCAAATAAGTAAAAACCAAGCTTTTATTCTCAACGCCTTCTTTGAAGACGGGAACCCCTCCCTCAGTCATCAATACCACTCCACTCCCCAGCCTCATCATCACCCACCCTCCTCGCATTCTTTATCCGAATCTTATTCGCGGCCGTAGCCCCCTCCCGATTCGCCTCCCTCCGCCTCTCCCACTTACTCTTTGACGAAATCATCGCCGCCCCATGGCTCCGCCTCGCCTCGACGCCCTTTTCCCGAATCTTCTTCTTATCCTCCTTGCTGACATTCGGCAGCGCGTCGAGCAGCCACTTTTGCACATTCGCCTCCTCGCCCTTCTTGCCCGCCTGCCTCTCGCTGGCCGCAATGACGTTGGCGACCGTCTTGACAAAGGGGATATCGTCCGTCGTATAAAAGGTCACAGCGACGCCGCCCTCGCGGCCCGCGCGACCGGTTCGTCCGGCGCGGTGGACGTACGCCGCGCTGGAGCCGGGCACGTCGTAGTTTACGACGCCGTTGACGCCGGCGAAGTCCACGCCGCGCGCGAGAACATCCGTTGTGATGAGGATCCAGACCTCGCCGGCGCGGAACCGGCGCATGATGCTCGCGCGGGCCTTGTCGGTGAGGCCGCTGTGCAGGGCGGCGATTCTGGTGGGACCGCCGGCGGCGAGGGGGATGTCGTACTTGAGTTCCTCTTCGAGGGCCGTGGCACGCTCGATGGTTTGGGTGAAGACTAGGAAGGGAGGCCGGAGGGGTGGTCCTGAATCGTCTCCTGCTGTGGGGTGAAGGAGCTGGCGGAGACCCAGGAGTTTTCCCTTCTCACTTGCGGTGTAGATTAACTTATGGGTGACGTTGGGGACGGCTGTGTCCTTGAGACCGACGACCAAGCGAATCAATGGTTTAGATGCCGGTCTTGCCAACTGTGCTTCTGTCACCAAAGTCTCGATGTTGGAACCGAAAGTCGCAGACCAGAACGTAGTTCTCAGCTCCGGGTTGGGACAGGCGGACCAGATTGTCATGGTTTGTTCGCGGAACAGGGGGTCCAACAGCACATCCGCCTCGTCAAGAATTAGAGATGTGACAGTCGGGACTTTGCGATCCGTCTTTGACGCCGCCGTAAGGAAGTTGTAGAAAAGCGCAGGTGTTGTGACAAGGATATCGGCCTTCACGACGGACTTTGGCTTGGCCGGCTCGGTCTCGCTGTCCTCGTCCTCGCCATCGTCAGACTCCTCGCTCTCTTCCTCTTCCTCATCTTCGCTCTCGGCCTTGTCTTCTTCCTCGACTGCAAAGCGCATGCCCTTCTTCATGCCGGCGATCTTGATACCAGAGTTCAAGGCCAGCTTGCGTCCCTCGTTCACAATCTGGAAAACCAGCTCTCTTGTCGGCGCAATGATGATCGCAGAGAGATCGTGTCTATCCTTGTCCTCGCTAGACTCCCTCTTGTGCATGATGGAGTTGATGGCGGGGATCAGAAAGCTGATCGTCTTTCCGCTGCCTGTCGGGGCAACGGCGAGGAAATCCACACCCTTTGAGACATCCCCAAGCTCCTCGTTTTGCGGCACCTCCTTCAATGCCAATTCTGGCTTCAGGAGCAGAGGCAAAGCACCCAGCTGCACCTCGGTCGGCACCTTATATCCCTGATGCGCGAGATTATCCGCCAACAACGGCGAAATATTGTAATTCGTTCGAAGTTCGTGGAAAGAAGTCAAGGGCTGAGGGTGAAGCTGGTTCGTCTCCTTCTCGACCTCGACGGCAACCTTCTTCTTTTTGCTCTTGGTGACCTTGGAGGCTTTCTTGTGACGCTCGGAGAGGAGCGTGAGCTTTAGTCGGTGGGACCGAAGGATCTGTCGGCACTCGTCCTCGGGGAGTAGAGTCGGCTTTACAGCGGACGCCTTGTCGGCCTTCTTGGCTTTGGCAGCGGGCTGCTTGACATTTTCCGTTCCTTTGGTGGTTTCGGACTTGGGCGCGAAGAAATCGACCTCGGGCAGTTGCTCCTCTTCCTTCTCCTCGACCTCTTCTTTGCCTCGCTTCCTCTTGTTGCCCCGCGCTGAAGACACTTCGTCGTGGAAAAGTTGGGGGTTCGTTCGGTTGCCGGCGGATGGCAGGTTTGCCGCTCCTTTGTTTGCGTTCTTGGCGCCTTTCGCAGGCTGCTTGATGCCGCGCGACAATACTTTGAGGATATCCATGGTTGATCTTGTAGTTCCCGAGTAAAGAAAGTCCAAGGTCTGTCTGGTGGCTTTACTGCAGATGCGCCTGGCATGGAAATTTTAAAGTGGGGATGCGGACCGTTCCCGCACAGTTTTTATACTGTGCGGAAGCTTCGACTTTCGGGTTGGTCAACCTCACCTCATGAACGTCGACTTCAACAGGAACTATGATTAACCGCTTTTGAATGGGTTTAAGCATGAGCATTACAGGGCAATATCTAATTTTATCTGAAGACATTTGGGCCGCTCTTTTCGTTCCTCTCGCCTTTCTCATTCTCCCTCTCTCTCTCTTAGAATATCCCAACCTGATGGAGTGAATCGAGCTTCATTTCGTATTTGTCTATACGTAGTCGGGTTGGAACCTCAGATTAAGGTCAGATGTCGAATGATTTTCGGTTAATAAAAATCTTCTTCCGAGTTCCAAAGTTTCTCCATGCCTTAATTGTCTTGTTCGGTAGCATTCAGCAGGCTCTAGATCAGGCAGCTTGACATGGGTTCAGGAAGGCTGTTTCTGTTTTGCTGCTGTTTCACTAAAACATAGATAAATCAGAAGCAATTTAGATACTGTTGCGAATGAAGACTCACAGATAGAGCAGGGCGTTGCTGGAGATTACTTCCCACAGCAAACCACGGAGATGCAATTCCAGTCAGCTCCTGATTCGACTACTACAGTCAAGCCCTGAAGAATAAGAGGAGAGCACGAGTACCGACGAGGTTCCTATAGCTCACCAGCTCTTCGGTGCCTAAGATCGAAAGAAGCTCACATTTTAGGGTGCTTCAATGAGTTGAGCTCCGTGGTCAAGGGGATGGAATGCCTGTTCGGTGAATCTTCCAAATCTTGAGTAGCTAGTAGATTCTCGAGACTTCCATGTCCGATGATTGATTCTTGGCCAGCAAACTCAAGTTAAGATGGTTATAAATACTCATAATAGGCACGAGGTTCTCTCTATGCCAGCGTTGCCAACCTCCAAGGGACTGGAGGGCAGATACCAACTTATACTAGTCAAACACTTCACCATGGGCTGGGTGCTTTGGAAACATGCGTGCGTGCTGTCCCTTGGGCTTTTCTCTGGCTTCGTTCAATGCAGTGACCCAAGGCAATAAGAATTCTTTGCGTGTAGTCTTTCTATATCGTAGAGCACGACGGTCTCGAGCCTTTCACAACCCCTTCAGCTTCATGGCTTGCATAAAGCTGTGCTTCTGTTTTACCTTGGAGTGTGCTTAAAGTACCTAAATCCACAAAGACTTCCTTCTTCTGGAAATTACTGTATCTCGATTTAAAGCCTTCTATCATTCACTAGCGTTAATTATGACTCGAGGACAAATCGAGTTATAAGTTGAGTTACTTTCTTACTAATAGCACTATGCGAAGGCCAAGACTGGGGACTTCGGTTTAGACTCAGATTTCTGCATGGAATTTGTATCTAAATGGAATTCAACGGCCACAAATGCCCCTACGACAGCAACCATCCTCAAAGCGACGTTTCTTCCTCGGTATCTACCGGATTATCCTATTTGACATCACACACGAGTCCTTCTGCGGTACTCGTTTCCCTTTGTACCCATAGACCAAAGCTAAACTTTGGCCAGCGGCCAGCCTCTCCATCACGCTCGACGTATTCGTACACGGTTAGATGACAAGCCATGGTCAATCCTGAGTGCGGTACAATGTCCAGCCGCCTTGCTTAATATTGCCTTGCAGATGCCTTGAAGACCGAATCGGGCAGTGCCCACTCACAGACCACAATGACACTGATCCGCTGGCCACATCGCCATTGACTCATGCCTCATAAGCAACTGTAAGAAGTGGTCTGCGGCTTTTTATCCTGGTTCGGACAAGCTACCATAATGTCGACTTGAGATGCTTTCGTCGACTCTAAATATTCAATCCAAATGTTCACTTCTAGAGCAAGCCGAAATCAAAGTAAAGCAACAAGCGCGTTCTCTCCGGAAACAAGCAAACTCCCCGAGGCTTGTGGGTACGAGTCCGATTCCCATTACCAAAGCCTTGGGGTCCAGGTATAATTCAAGAATCGTTCACTCTTGACATCGGCTGAAGGGAAAGTGGTGGGAATCCAAAGTGGTCAGTAGCCCTCGTTCCTAATCATGCTTAACTTCGCTGAAGTCAAAAGGTTCGAGCCTGACTTTGCCCTTTACTGCAACTCTTTTCTTGCGATTCGCCTTCCCCATCTATATCTAATGGTATCGTGACAAGGACCAAGGCGAGTGTGTGCTTCTGAGCTCATTGACGAGAGCAAAAAACGGCTCTTAATCCCCTGAGGTTACAAGTATTCCCCATTACTTTGCTCACAATGACCACCAACCACGATCTTGATACTTCCATCCGCGCAATCTCCCTTAAACACCTCAAAACCGGACCTTCTTCCGTCGTCTACTCCAAATACATCATCTCTTTCTCCACCACAGAAACACGCTTACATACTTACTCGCCTTATCCACACCTACAAACAGGATTTAAAGGTTCAAGTTAAAGTGGGAAAGCGGAAAACCCACACAGCTTCTCCACCATTATCAAAAGTCTTGAATAGAGTCTAGACCTGCATGTACGGATATCGACCCGCTCTAGTGATGTGGATCACCAAGATTCGCGCCGACTTTTACATCCAACTTCAAACCCTCGGTATCCCGGCCGGTCGTAACATTTTCCAATCTCGTTATGCAAGTCATTATCTCACGATCCACGGGGATCAATCATAGATTTTTTTTTAAAAGAAAATTCTTTTAAACGAATGTTGATTGGCTGAGGCATTTGAACGTGCCACGCCGGCCTAGGGTACTCGTGGGTACATCATCTCACGACGCAGATCGACTAGCGGAGGAGGTTCATCCATCTTGACCTTGGACTGTAGCCCTTGCCGTACATACCGTACCGTTTTGGAGACTTCCAAAAAGGTCTACTGGCCCCCGTCATAGCAAATGCTCAAGTTCAAATAATTACGTAAAACCGTCTCTCAGAAAGCAGGCGTCGAGATGAACTTGATCATAGCACAGCTTCCCGTGAACTCACAATACACACGACGAACCAACCGTCAGAGCAAAGGAAAAGGCAACGTAAGAACGACGAACACAGAGCGGGTAGCACAAGCCCACCGTTCATCCGTCTCCCTCAGCCTCTCCGGTCCATCTCATGCCCTCCGAGCAAATGTCCAGAGGAAGTCCGATATCAAAGCTCTTCTCGAGCTTCGCGACTCATTGAAGGAGTTGTTCTCATACGCCAAACGCACGAGGGACAGTCCTAAGCCCCTCCCCTCGGAGTCCAACTCAGCCACCCCCCAGGACATCTCCCAGGCCACATAAAAGGTCCAAGGCCTCGAGAATAGAACGCTGTACCGAAGAAGCTTAAGTCATCCAAGCCCCATGTCATAGCCTTACACCATCCTCGTCGCAACGCTGGGTCGCATCAGTCAAACACGCGAAAACGAACCCGCATACCTACTCACCCCGTGACCTACACCCTCCTTTCAAAACGCAGTCTCAGTGCTCCTCGCATATACGAAAGTAAGAGGGGGGGGGGGTAAAAGCGGGCATGGGCTCCGGATTCTAAGGCTCGTCCACTCGAACGCACAAAAAGGGTCGGACGAACCTGAGGCGCATGCGGCCACTGCGAACGTGATCCATCCATCCGTCCGTTCGCTTTCCCAAAAAGACAAGACGCTGTGCTTCAGACACGAGGATACGAGGCCAGACGAAGAGGAGGAAGACGCACGCTTCGCTCTGTTACGCCGCCAACTTTCCGACCGACTAACCGTGTGCCCCGTCCGTGACTTTGCTTGACTGACTTGAGTGCTTGCTGCCTCCTTCTTTGCATCCCATCCCATCTCAACTTTTACCTGCGTGTCCTGACTCCTGCGGTCCTCACTGTAACCCCATCTCATGTGATGCAAGCAAAAATACGCAAGGCAACTAACTCTCGATCCAATCTGCCTTGCCATTTCATACCTCTGACGCAAATCAGAAACCCGGGGTACATGGACGGTTGAGTCGGTGAAGCCATAAACCGTAGCGTTGCATCCGTTTCACGCTTGTTGACCCCCTTCTGGAACAACAAAGTCGACAATCCCCTCGATCCGGACGGAGCTCGCGTGGTGCAAAGAATGGGTACGGAGTCGAGTAAGCTTGGACCTTTCATGCTTAGACAGAACGACTGACCGTTATCGAAACTAGACTTATATGTCAAAACGTCGAGGACGCGGACAGGCTTGGGGGGAGGCATGACTTACATGACTTACGTGTACACGCCATAGCGCCCAAGACCGAGCCCAGGAACCGACTCACATGTCACGAGTGTCACAAATGGCAGCGGAAAGTAAGGACAGTTGTAGACAACACGCAACGAGCTTCTATTAAGTATTATGTGAATGCGAACAAGCTGACACCGGCCCTAGTGGCCAGCACAGACGGTTCCATGCAGTCTTTTTCCACCAACAGCATCTCCAAACTCAAATCTGACGATTCCTGACCCTAGCCCGATATGAACCAACACCAAGAGGTCCGTCCATGTTGTCGGACCAAGGCACTTCGAATTTTTTGTCGTGGGTATTTTCTTTTCGTGTTCTTGTCTGGAGCGACGGGTATAACTGGGTATCAAAGCATCAAAGCAGGATACTGGTGAAAAAACAAATCAAAACAAAAAAACAATGGCAGAAATGACTTCGAAACGACTGAAAGTGGAACGGAATCACCTCCCGCCAGTTTTCGCCTTCCGATGCGTGTGCTGTGTAAAGAGGGAAATAGGAAAGGGTATCAGGTAGAACCAGTCTTGACGGGGTATCTTGAAATGCAGATCCGATTCCCGAACAAACCCATCCAAGTGAAATGAGTTGTCACGTGATGTTGCTCTTCCTCCGAATCTCGATCCGATGCGTGCGTACTTATTTTTTGTAGCGGTTTTCTGTGTTTTTTGCTTCATTCAGTTGATCGTGACGACCGAAGCTGCCCCTTGCGACGAAGGGACAGCGAAACCCATTTCGCATTCTATGCGGCGGCGGTGACGGGGGCAGGAGTGGAAGAAGCGACGTTCTCGGGCTTGTTCTCAGGCTCCTCAGTGGCCTTGGAGGTCTCGGCAGCGGGAGTCTCGGTGGCGACGGCGGGGGTCTCCTCGGGCTTCTCCTCAGTCTTCTCGAGCTTGTCGGCAGGCTTCTCAGTCTTGCCACGACCCTTGATGGTAGCGCGGAGCTTGGAGAAGGCGCTGGTCTTCTCCTGCTTCTCAGCCTCCTCGTTGTCAGAGTGGGCAGGGGACTTGGCGGGAGACTTGTCGCGCTTGCCGAAGCCGAAGGGAAGGGAAGACTTGCGCTTCTCCTTCAGGTCGGGACGGGGCTCGCCGTTGGTGGCGGGGGTGATCTCCTTGTTCTCAACGGGAACGGTGCCGGGGTTGGCAACGTCGACGGCGAGGGGGGTGGTGGCCTCAACGGGGGGGATGACCGGGGCGGTCTCAGCAGCGGGAGTGACCTCAGTCTCCTTGGCCGCGGCGGGGGTCTCGGCCTCAGCAGCGGCGGCAGCCTTCTTCTCCTTCTTGCCAAAAACACCGAAGATGCTGTTGCGCTTGGTGGGAAGGGGCTTCTTCTCCTCCTTGGCGGTCTCGACGGGCTTGTCCTCAGCAGCGGTCTCAGTGGCAGCGACGACAGGAGTCTCAGCAGCGGGAGCAGCAGCGGGAGTGACGGGAGCCTCGACGGCGGGGACCTCAGCGACGGGGGTCTCAGTGGCAGCAGGGATGACGGGAGTCTCCTCCTTGGGAGTCTCGGCGACAGCGGGGACAGCGGTCTCCTCCTTCTCCTCCTTCTTAGACTCCTCCTTCTTGCCAAGCAGGCTGCCGAAGATAGAGGCACGCTTGCGGCTGGCAGAGCGACGCTTAGGCTCCTCCTTCTTGACCTCCTCCTCCTTGGGGGTCTCAACAACGGCCTCCTCAGTGGCGGGGACAGCGGCGATGTCAGCAGCAGGGGTCTCGGTGGCGGCAACGGCCTCAGTGGCGGGGGCCTCGACGGCCTTCTCCTCCTTCTTCTCCTCCTTCTTGGCGGGCTTGAAAGCCTCGAGGGCAGTCTTGTAGGCCTCAGTCTCGGTAACGGTGGAAGCGAGCTCCTTGGCCTCAGCGACCTTGAGCTTCAGCTGGGAGATCCAGTTGTCACGGTCCTCGGCGTTGGCAGCCTTGAAGGTGTGCTTGTGGCCCTTGGCGGTGAAGTGGAACTTGTTGGCGCCGTCGGTGGAAGGCTCAGAAGCATCGGCCTAGAGGACAGTCGTTAGTACAACGATTTTGGTGTAAGTCAGATACAAAAACATACCAAGTTGATGACACCCTGGGGGGCGGTCTTGTCGCCGAAGAAGAGGAGACCCTTGCCGGTGTGGGAAGCCCAGGCGGCATTGTGGTGGGCAGTCTCGGTAGACTTCTCGCTCTTCAGGTAGGAAGAGAGGTTCTTGGACTCGACGGCGTCGGATCCGAACCAGAAGAACTCCTTGGAGTAGATGAAGTTCCTGCAAAATAGCTGTTAGCACATGCGACGAAAGGGTTTTGACGCGCGCGCTCTAGACTTACTTGGGGAAGTTGATGCCCTTGTGCTCGAGGGTGCCCTCCTCGACGGGGACAACCTCCTTCTTGGCCTCCTCAACGGGGGCAGCAGCCTCAGTGGCAGTGGCCTCAGCAGGTGTCTCGGTGGTGGTGGTAGCCGGGGTCTCGGTGGCAGTCTCGGCAGCGACAGGGGCGACGGCGGGAGTCTCCGTGGTCTCAACGGGCTTCGTCTCGGCGGCGGGGGCCTCAGCGGTGGTGGTGGCAGGGACAGTCTCCTTGGGGACCTCGACGGGCTTCTGTTCTTCGGCCATTGTGTATGATGTGTGGTGTTGAGAAAGGGGAGTTGGGTATCAAAAAGTCAGGCGGTAGACTTGGGTATCACAATAAAAAAGGTCTTAAAAAAGCACTACTAAAAGTACTGTATTGGTCGTGTCGAGGGGTTGGTTTGAGTTCTTGGGTATAAAAGAGTTCGAGAATAGAATCTCTTTTGGGGAATAATGGCAGAAAAAAAAGAAGACCTGTAAATGGTAGCAGAGGAAAGACGGGAAAGGGAGAGAAGAAAACTGGGAGGTCGAGCGGGACGCTGGGGGTACTTATTTGCGAGAGGGTGACGAGATGAGGCTTTGCCCTTGCCAGGAAGCCCGGTTGATGGAGGCTCACACGGTCCAGTCAGTCCCTTGCGAAGGAAAAAAAGAGGCGTGGGCCCGGCGTGAGTGGCTACCCCCGGGTATGAGAGAGGTACCTTGGAGAGAGAGAGAGTGTGTGTGTACGGAGTACTTGGGGACGGAAGGAGGGAGGCGTGGGTATCTGGGTAGACAGAGACAGAGAGAGGCCGATGAGTGGAAGTGTGTCAGTGTCAGTCTAGACGGCGGCACTGGCGTGGGAGGTTGATGAGCGGTAGCTTGGAAGAGAACGGTGGGAATGCGATACGGTGTATCCGTAAGGTACTCGTAGACGGTGGATACGGGAGTACCTTGCGACGAGACCGTAATGCGAGAGAGAGAAGAGAGAGGGAGGGAGAAGGGGTTGCAAAGGGCCAGTCAGAGTGGTCGTCTGAGCTTGATGAGAAAGCGCAGGCAAGTGCGACGAGGATGGGAGGTCTGCTGGTCTGCTGGAGAGCTTGGGCGCAAAGGAAACTGACGAGGATGAGAGAGGTCCAAGGTGTGTGTGAGGTTCAACAAGCAAGGTGCGATGAAGGACAGGGATCTGGGAAAGAAGCCGTTCCAAACGGATACCCTTTAGTGGGGGTACTTTCCCTCGCTGTCGCGGCCCTGTCACCAATGTATGTACCTGTCTTCTTAGCGCTACCTACATCTATCATTCAGTGTCAACCAGCACACTGACCTTATTACGCATCACTCGTGAGGTGGAACTGCCTTTCCTTTTCTGGTATACTTTTTTGCATTTCTTTTTTTTCTTCCTCGTAGAAAACTACAGCCTCGTGTAGTTTGCACCTCTCTACGTCTAGTCAGTATACGCGGTTTACCTGGTCTCCTGTGTTGGTTGCTACTCCGTACTGATGATTGAGGTGCGTATCTCGGGAATTGGAAATAGAATACAATGGAGGCTCGAGTTGAGGTACGAAAAGCCCTGGTCTAGCGAGAAGGCAGATACTTGTGATTCCGTCAGGTCTCGGCATCATTTTCAGGTACCTCGTTGTTTGCGACAAGGTACACTTACTTGTACCTTAAAATGGGAAGTGGGGCATTCCATTTGGTAGCTCTTCCCCTGTCGCTATGATTTATTGGTGTGTCGCCCGCCCAGTTGCGTTGCCCAGAGAGTCAGAGGAGAGAACACTGGACGTCGCGTGCTGGCCCGTGCTGCGCGCAAGCGAGTGGGACGAAATTTGCCAGACCCGTACGGAATACCTTGCCGTACCTTTGGCTGCATGTGCTTGGGAACTACGTGCTGCGAGCTGCGCGCTGCGTGTTGCGTTCTACTGCTGGCTGCTGCGTGTCGTATCGTGTGTGCAAGACGAGAGAGAGAGACTGAGAGAAACAGTCACATGTAGCGGTACGTATCCTAAGCACATGGGGGCCCAGAAAGAAAGAGAGTGCAGGACGAGCGAGATGCAAAGACGGACAGGGGGCCTAGGACGAGCCTTTCCGCACTTTGGACAGCGTCAGGGGTGTGGTAGCCCATCCATGCCTTGCCATGCCTACCTGGACCCTGCTGCTTTGCCGGGAACATGCCATGGACGACCCACTCCCGCCGCCATTCCCAGACGTTAGTGGCTGTCCTAATTCACTTTTTAATCTTTTTTTTTCCTTCTCCCTGAATCTTTTTCTTTACTTCTTCTCTCTAATACGCAGCTACGCAGCAACGCGCCCAGAGAGGTGTAGAGAGAGAAAAAGTCGTTCGCCGGTTGCCCCTCCGATGCGACGACGCTACTATCCGTACGGATACTTGTAGCCACATGCTCCATTGTACCTTTGTTAGAAGAAGGAGAAGAAAGAGAACAAGAGAACCGGTGTTGAAACATCGTAGCCGCCGCAGACTCCCGCTTCCCTTCTTTACGCCGCCGCCACTACCTGCCTCGGACGGCCCAGCAACGGTTGTACTCTTTTTTTTTCTCCTTCCCTTTAGACCATTTCGTGTCGTACGTGACCAACAAATTATCAAAAATTCACGGGTGGACCACAACGAGATGGCCGGGTGATTTCGATACGCGCTGAACCCGGGCCTGGAACCTAGCAACCCGGCCGGGTCCCTTTCTGAGTCCAACAAACGTCTCCATCCAGTCAGATAAGGTAGAAAGAAAACGAAAAAGGGGTGTGCCCCGCGGCGGCCGTCGACCTTCGAACTTCGCAGCAAGACGTTGTAGTTTCCGTTAGAGATACTGTTAGTTGACTCTGGCTCTAGGCTGGACTCCCGGGGAGGCTTCCGCTCGGGCTCCTGTCACCGGCGGGATGTGTCTGTAATAAAGTCTCTTTCTAGACTTCTAAAGTGACTCATGTCGCACTGTAATCTTCAGTCCAGGCTTCACCTTCTCCTGATGCCGCTACTTTCTCCCTGGACCTGTGACTGCTACTGCCCTCACTCCGTTTCTGGCTCACCGTCCGTTCAAGTATTGAAAGTATCCATGGAGTACTGGGTACCGTTACATTCGATGGCCAGAACTCGACACCGCGACGATCGCAAAAGTGGATGGGGAGATGTTGCAAGCTGGCTGGCCTGACGAATTACAGGATACGGTGCTGTTGCAGTACCGAACTCTGGACTGTTTCGTTCCTCACCGTTCCCATACTGGCACACACTGCCTAGAAACAAAACAACATGAACGATTCAAAATAGAAAAGGGGGGGGGAAAAAGATAGTAGAAGCAGCACGCAAATGTGGCATACTAACAACACAATCCTAAATCAGAATCACTTCAAAACAGAATCTCGCGTGATGTCCTGCAGCCAGCCCATGACGGACGTCATATTGCGGCCGCGCCCCCCCTCCCTCGAGGGTGATGCCGTTGAATGCGCTCCATTCTCGTGCATTGCATAGGCAAGCTTTTTGCAGGGCAAAATCGCACACCACCAAAATCCACCTTGCAACCACAACGCATCTCTCACCACCACCACCATCGCAGAGAGCGGATGGGTAGCATTACAATGAGACGAGAGCTTCAGGACACTGGCTGGCTAACCCCGGGTACTTGCTCGGTAAAGTACAATACTCGCCGTAGGCACACACAGGCCGATCGATCGCTCTCTGCCCTCCCACGCTCTGTAAGGTAATCCGTTTACGAGTATATTCTCGCACGCCGTACGAGCCGGCAGGCTCTCTCTGCCCTATCCGTACACGAAACACATGGGAACGTTGTGACCAGCGGCCAAGTGCCGGCATGGCTGGGCAGTCCGTAGCGGTTCTCTCCCACACATCGCCTTTCATATTCCGCCCTCCGTTTTGAAATTCCTCAGTCTTCTGTACCACCGTTTCCCGCTGTCTCTCAGCCCAGCTCAGTGCCCGCCGTTCCTTTAACCTCGCCCACTAGTCCCTTCCATAGCCCATCGCTAGAAGCCCCGATGGTTTGCGTGTCGTTGGAAACTTGGCGCCCTGGCTGGCAAAAATGGGACTCGGAGAAGGAGGGTCTTGCGCTAGTTCCCTCACTATTTTGCAACACGCGCCTTTGTCCTTTCTATCAGGTCACTTTTGCAAAGGGGGCGAGACATGGCCGACCGATTCCTCGTTAAAAGCAGAAAACCCTTGGGGCCAAAGATCCACATGGTCAAAGAGTGGTGGGCTGCAGGCAAGGGGAGGGAGAGTAACGGCGACAGGAAGAGGAAAGAATAGGAGCCAAGGTGGTCGGTCCCCTATCAAAACGACCACGCCATAGGGCCACGATGGAGAAAATGGGGGCCCAGTACGCTTCTTGTCGAGATGTGCCGCTAGTCCTGTTAGCTGCATCCTCTTTAAAACCATGTGACTCAGGCCAGATACCGCCTAAGCAAGATTTATCCAGAGCGGGAGTGTCGATCAGTTTGCGCACCTTATCCCGAGGCTTCATTGGACTCGTCGCACGACAACTGACTGCGCTGATGGAGGGGCATATAACGGTATGGGTGTGAGGAGGTGCTGCGTGTGTGTCGCGTCTTCCAAGGACTCGATGGCGCTCTCGTTCAGAGTTCACCCAGCACTCGTGAACTTATGAGCCGAGTGAAGCTGGGCAACGAATTGCGGTGGCCAGCCTGAGAGCCTTTGCGCCTGCGCCCTGCGAGACTGTGCAGAGGCGGCGCCATCTATTTCCTCTTGTGTCCGTACATAGGTGTACTCCGTATTGCGACCTGCCTGTCCTGCCAGTCACCGCTAGAGTGTCTCCCGTTATCCCAGGCATGCTTCTTGTGCTTCACGGGCATGACAGTGCAGGGCGGTCAGCCAAATGTTTCGGACTCTGCCTCCCTCCCGTAGCGCGGTCTTGGTCTTGTTCGTCAGATGCGCCAATCTGTATCTCGTAGTTGACTGGTGTCGACAGATATTGTATCTCGACTCTGAAGGCGTGGCGCCACTCGGTAACCGTACGGATACAGGATTCTCCTTTCTTGGGGGCGCCGCGTTACTGTCGTCGTAACGGTAGCGGACCAGAAAAGGAGAAGTCGTTCAAAGAAGACTCGTCTGAGGCCGGCACGATGGATCCACCATAAGAGACGACGAGAGACCATTCTCATGACAATCAGAAACAACAGCCGCCCGACACTGTGCAACTGCCAATCAATCGGAGATCCACAGGCCCTTGACTTGGGCCCATTCCGCATATTTGATCCAAACAACCCTAGCTGCCGCCAGGCCTAGTCTTGGTCCTCTTTGGACAACAGACAGGGACTGACGGGGATGTAGGGGGCCGTTCCCCTGCCTCTTATGATCAGAGGCCACCTACGGGAATTTTTTCTTTCCACTCGAGATTCTCAGGACCACAGCGTAAGAACAGGATACATTAAATCCCCTCCACCGTCCGGTCCTGACTGTTGGCCTGGAAATAGGCGCATATTGCTGATCCGACGGCCTCTCCAATCAAGTCTTTCAGAAGTCCATACTCCAAATCCAAAGTCCAGACGCCAAATGACACTCCATCAACAGCTCCGTTTGAGCGCGTGTCCGTCCAGACTCCAGACCTGCCAAGAGGGCTTACGGCTGACTCCAGCCCGCCGGCTTTCCCAGACCAGACCCTCGAACACGGCATACGCTCAACGAAGCGAGGTTTGTATTTGTACAAAGTACCCGCCATCGTTTGGACATTGCTTGCTGCTTGGGTGACCATCCGTGACGGGGACCAGATGCAGATGCGCAGGGACGGCAAATTACGGCCACTGCCGAGCTAAAAATTGCTGACGGACACGGCCTTCATTTCAACAAAGAGCCTTGGGCCTTCCGAGTCGGCCACTATTGGCTCCGTGGGGTTCCAGCGCGGCGCTACCATCGCGATCCCATTTAACCACTTGGCCATTCTCGCCTGAAGCGTACCTAGCTTGCAAATTAGGTGATGAATGATTGCGCCCCAACATCTGTACCTGACATTGAGCAAGCCATGACAGACGACTCGAGCTGGCTGACGGGCGACAGCGGAGAGTCCGTCACGGACAACAAGACCGAAATCAGAAAGGCTAATACTCGGAGAGTCATGCTTGATCATTATGCGGTGCCCCTGAACGGCGCGATCATGTCCTAGCATCTAGGTAGTCGATCGACATGCTTGATGTCGTTGGAGCCTTGGAGGGCCACCGGGAGGTCAACCGAGTCCGTCTGTTCGAGGTGGCCGACCGCTCTTTTGATCGGTTTGGAATTCCATGGGATGGGTTGGCTTGGGATGAAGGGGGCCACCAGTGGAATGCGATTCGATATCCAGGATGCCCATGAAGTGAAAGTCGAATCAATGTCGATTTATGCCATCAGATACCACCACCAAGCCCTGTCAAATGCGGGCTGCCCGTACCTCACCCAGAACTGTCCATCAGAACCCTGTCAGCTGATCCCTGGTCCATCTCTGCTTTGATTTTACTTCCTAGGTTGAGAAGTCGCATTTGCAGCGGATTTTCCTATGGCCCCACATAGCAACCAGTCATGCTGGCAGTGGCTCCAGGGAGAGGCCCGGCAGCCGGAGAACAGCTCATTGCTGTGGGACGGAGACTCGGAGCCGGGCGTTCGTTACCCCTCGAATTGAAGATCCGCGATGGTGTCGTTTCTTGTCGCCCAAGTGGGTTTTTGGGCAATGTGGACGAAAGCGATCAAGGTTCACCTGGATCCCATAACACTCCAAATTGCCATTCCTAGGCGTTGTCTTGACCGAGGTGAGATAGAGTTGGCGGATGGAATCCTCGGCAGACAGCGAAAGCGTTCATCAGACCACGTATGTACGGGTAGACTAATACAGCCCTGCTTGGCTAGATAGCGAAATCGTCATCTCCCAATCTCGCTGCAGGGCGCAGGCCACCTCGCCATCTCCCTGATCTCTTGACGAACTGCAGCATCGAGCAGCCGAACGCCCTGGTTTAAAACGGGGCCGTGGTTGCAGTCTCATATACACATGATCGGAGGCGGAGGGGCACGGAAGGTGGAAGGTTCTGGTGGCCTGGCTCGGAATGGTGTCGATGATGGATGGTATCGTATCGGATTGCCTAGCGTGAATCCTAGTAGGAATTTCGCGGGTGGGCGCTGTCGAATTAGATTGCTCTAAGTCGGTAACTTGAGGGATGTACTTGATGTGTCCGCATCTGTACTTGTACGTTGATGGCTCGAGATGGCCGGTTTGGTTGAGCCTTGTGAGTTATCGGTGGTGATGTTGTCCCTCGTCGAGTTCCGGTCAGGATCGTGGTTGACGCCCATCTTCGCTGGCAGGGACGTTACGTTACGTAAGACAGAAGAAGTCGACGGTGAAGGCAAGCACAGTGTGATGTACCTTACCTTATGGCAATGTATATAGAACAAGACGGGAAGGTCCAGTAAGTATAAACGGCCATCCAGGAAGATATCTACCGGTCTTTCATCAGGCGTCAGGAAGTAGGTACATCATCCCACCCTCGTTCCTGCTAGTTCCATATTGTAACTTCAGGCCAAGGCAAGCACCAAGTACCCAAAGCAAAGCAGAGTGCGCCTTCCAAGCTCACGGCGACGGATCAGAACAGGTTTTCTCTGGTTCTAAGGTTCCTCAGGCAAGTGCCCAAGTACCTTACTTTGCTTTGCAACTTTCATTAATCGATAATGTACCAATGCCGAATGTTGCAATTGACCACCTTATTCGCCTACCCCCCTCAAATTCTCAATCCCGTTCAAGGCAAACCTGCCCACCGTCACCCAGCATCGTCACGACGAACCCGGATGGGTCCGTATCAACAATGACTTCCTATTCTTGACCTTCTCGTCCTGTACTCCGTACCTCATTCGGGGCTGCGTAGGCAGTGGCTGAAAGACATGCCAACGACACTCGATAGATCATCCCCCTCTGGTCTGCTTTGCGAATGCGCATGATTGCACTTTATTTCCTTTCCAAGCAGTGGAGATCCATCGACTGTTTGAAATGTCGTCTCGGTCCGGCCATTTTACGTCATCTACCACCTTGCAACCTATCGTTACTACAACCAGGCGGCACGATACAATCCGTTGCGTCCATAGGTTTGCCAAACGTACAAGGCTATAGGCATTTGCTGACCAGAGTCAGCCATCTTCATGAGCACACGCACATGATATCTTGCACCTAGATAACATACCCACCTATCCCGCCGTTTCGATGAGCCGCTCATGCCGTCGTCTACCATCTGAGACAGACGGCCTGTGGGGGTAGCTAACAACGGCTT